TGTTGACCAGGATGGTCTCGATCTCTTGACCTCGTGATCCACCCGCCTCGGCCTCCCAAAGTGCTGGGATTACAGGCTTGAGCCACCGCGCCCAGCCCTGATTTTATTGTTTCATTTGCACTTGATAGCACAAGTTTTCTCATCACTCTTTTTTTTATTTTGCTCAACTACTCTTGCTTTTACTTCCAAGTAAAACTTGGATTCATTTTGCAAACTCCTGTCTACAAAAAAAAGCAAAAAAGATTTCTTGGAAATTTTAATTAAAATTACATTCAATTATAGAATTTAGAAATAACTGACATTTTTAAATATCAGTTTAAGATAGTGGGATGGCTTCTTATCCAAAACAAGGCTTGTTTCTCCAATACATTCCTTAAAAAAAAAAAATTGAGTTTTTTCCCTAAGTCCTGCACATTTTTATTCAGTTAATTCCTTGAGTTTTTGTTGTTTTTATTGCTAGTGTAAATAGCATTTTTTCTGCAACATTTTCTAACTGGTTGTTAGTGATAGAAGAATATCAATAACTTTTGTATATTGAGGACTAAGTTCTGGTTTTCTTATCTTGCCTATATTCCTGTCTAAGGGGTCTGGAGAATCATGCCCTACAAACTGTCATTCTCGTCAGATGGGTTTTATCTAATGCTATATGGCGTGACTTACTTTCCAGTCTGACTCTGGCATAACATTATGTGACAAAGAAGAAAATCAAAATATTTTACCCCCAAACATGTTTCTTTGCCACATTTTGAAATGGCCCTGCAAAGCCATCCTTTATTGGGGAAAATTTCATATGTAAAGAATCTCTAGTAACATAGCAGGATCTTTTTCTTCCAGGCCCTCCCAATCCTGAAGAGATTAAGAGTCTAGCACGTTTTAAAGATCTGAATAGGAAACATTTGTCATCTATTGTTTCTAAGGGCAGCCACTATAAGACTTCAAAAGAACCTTGGTCTCCACAATCTTTTATCTTAACCTGAACATTTCCTTTCTATTAATCCCAGGTCTTTAGACAAACTCAACCAATTGCCAACCAGAAAATGTTTAAATTTTTCTATAGCCTGGAAGCCTCCCCTCCCAACTTTGAATTGTCCTGCCTTTCTGGACCAAACCAATGCATTTCTCAAATGTATTTGATTGATGGCTCATCCTCCCTAAAATGAATAAAACCAAGCTGCACCCCAGCCACCTTGGGCACATGTCTCAGGACCTCCTGAGAGCTGTGTCACAGGCCATGATCATTCATATTTGGCTCAGAATAAATCTCTTCAAATATTTTACAGAATTTAACTCTTTTCATTGATAATATATTTATCCAAGTGACTCACTAAATTCATTGACCTTCTCTCCTCTGCTTTCTCTCTCTCTCTCTCTCTTTCACTTTAAAAAAAAAATCTTTGTTCATTTCATTTTCTGGGTAGACCATCCTATCTTTAACAAGGACAGTTTTGTCTCTTCTTTTCCAACATTTATACTTTGTTTCTTTTTACTCTCTTATTGCATTGGCTTCCAACACAACACTGAATAGTGGAGTAAAATCAGCATTCTTTCCCCCACCCCGTTTTTTTTTATGCACCTAATAACCATCTAATAAGCATTATCCTTCTCGTGCAGGAATTTTTAACCCAGGGTTAGATCTATATGAATGGAATCCCCAAATTCCTGGACGTAATTTCTGTATATGAGTATCTATGCATTTCTGTAAGGTGACATTGTCTAGACACTTCAAAGAGTCCAGGACCACAAAGATAAGAATCTCTATTTTGGCTTTTCCTGTAAAATATGATGTGAGCTCTTGATTTGAAATGTATATCCTTTATAATGTTATTTCTACTCCCAAATTTCTTGCTAGGTTCTACCTTGTCTGGTGGTGTTGTTGCTTCTTAATTAGAAATGGCTGTTTTGGGGATCTACTGAAGCAATTGCATATTTTCTTCTTCTTATGTTGATGTGACATTAACATATTCCCTAGTGTTTGTGGCATCACTGTATTTTTAACCAACTAACTTCCTATTATAGTTCTGGTATAGTGGCCCTTAACATACTATTGGATCTTAGTTTTTAAGATTGGCTAGGATTTTTGTGATAATGTTATGGGATCTTTAGGGTGTTACTTTTCTGGCCTGAAGCCTCTGTGGCTGGTGGCACCTTTGCCCAAGTTCTTGTCCTGTGTGCAGGAAGAATGAGGCACGCAGACAAGTGGAGGGTGAGCAACACTGAACATTAGGACAGCTCACAGGAGACCTGCAGGGGGCAGCCCCTCTCTGTAGGCAGGTTGTCTTGTCAAGTGCTCAGCTCTCAGCAGAGAGGAGGCCCTGGAGAAGGTGTCTCCTCTCTGCAGACAGGGCATCCCGACTAGTGTGCAGCTCTCAGCGGAGAGGAGGCCCTGGAGAAGGTAGCTCCTCTCTGCAGCTGGTTGTCCCACCCTCTGCCCTGCTCTGAATGAGCCTGGGGCTTTTATGGGGCTCAGAGCGGGGAACTGTATGCTGATTGGTCCATGGGCAGCCATGTGCAGACCTAGAGAAAAGCACCATAGTTCCCCCTCCAGTCCATAGGACTGGCAACCTGGCCCCCAGGCTTCAGGCCTGCCCCAGCAGGAGGGTGGGGCTTCACTGGGGACCCTCTTCTTTCCGCCCAGGAGCCTGTCTGCCTCCTGCAGCCACCCATGGTGCCCAGGCTGCTGGCACCAAGGGGAACCTGCAGGCCAGCACCCAGCTGCCCTCAGCACCCCCCGCAAGCTTCCCCTCCTGCGCTCCTCAGTGCCCATAGTCTGCAGGGGCCAAAGCAGCAGGGGGCTGGCATGTCAGCATGGCCACAAGCGTGCACACACCCAGCCAGGCTATGGCAGCACCTGGGCTCTGCCCCAACTCTGCTCTGAGATTGGAGCAGGTGTCTGGAGCGGGAAGAGGCTGGGGAGCAGGAGCAGGCACCCAAGCCTACAAGGGCAAGAAGGGCCTTCCCTGGCCCCCCAAGAGTGCAGGGATGCCTGGGTCAGCAGCCCTAGTTTTGGCTGCTGCAGCTGCACCAGAGGTGGGGGCAGGCTCCTGCCTGCTCCAGGGAGCATGAGGCCCGGATCACAGCCACAACTTAGGCAGCTGCAGTTGTACTCGAGGAGTTCCCGCACCACCAACCTGGAAGGGGCAGGGCTCCCACTTGTCCCAGCTCCTGCTGGCTCCATGGAGCTTGGCACCTGGCCACGCTCTCTCACCCCAGGCCTTTGCTGGACCAGGGCCTGCATCCCAGGCAGGGGCAACACCGCTGCAAGCTCCCCTTCACCCGGCATGCCACCCTACCCAGCCTCATCGCAGCAGCCCCCAGGGAGGCAGTCTGCGGGGCTGGGGGTGTCCGCCTTTTCCCCGTGCCTTCCCTGAGCAGCTGGCGTGATGGCAGTGGCCACACCAGATGGCCTGCCACTGCCATCAGTAATATTTATAGTGATATTTATCTATAGAGTTACTTTTAGGGATTTCTTTTTAATCGAGCTTTGGTCCTGGGTTATGCCAGGTTTAAAAATGAATTGGGAAAATGTTTGTCTTTTTATGTTCTAAAACAAGTTAAATCGCATAGAAGTGCTAGTCCTTGAAAGTGTGAAAGAACTCACCCACAAACTGCCCAAGCCGGCATTTGGGAAGGGACTTCATTCCTCCCTGGGCCCCAGGCTGGGTGGGTCTGGCCCGGGTCACCTTGCCATTGACGAAGCTGCAGAATCACAGCAACCCTTCAGGGCCCTCTCCTGGCAGCCCCTCCTCAGTTCCAGTGCTAGGACACGCATCCCGTCTGCACCGAGGGGAGGGCAGCACTCAGACCCCTGCATCGCCCCTGGATCTGCATGCTCTGAACCAGGCCCTGTGCCGTTCTACCCAGCTACTGCCAGCCCCACTCTGTGGAGCCAGCAGGCACATGAGGCCCTTCCTAACGGCCTCCTGGAGCTGGAGCTCAGGCCAAGCCACAGGGCACCAGGGAGGACGGACCTGCAGAAAGGAAAACCAGGCTAATCATGGCCGTGTCCCCACACTTGACAGCGTCCTCCCCACTCCTTATGAAAGTCCTGTTTAAAGGAATGGAGCCAGGCTGGAGAGTGCCTAGCTCTATAGGGGAGCCCGTGCCAGGAAGCTGGGATCTTTTACCCACCCTCCCCTCTGTGTTGCTTCCGGGGCAGCCCCTGGCAGGGGGCGGGCTCCAGACCGTGGTGCTCCATTCCCTTCCGTGCCAGCGGCCCAACTGCCTACTCCACCCAGTCTGGAGGGCATGGAGGGGGCTTGAACACCCAAATCCCACCCAGGGCGGGGTGAGAGGGCACAGCCCCCGAGTCCAGATGCTAGTGACAGTGTGCGCCAGGCGCAGACCCTGTTTCCTTGAAGACTGAGGGCAGTGCCCCCAATCCCACCGATCTTGTCTGTGCACCTGCCATGGGGAGGGGTGCAGGAGGGGGACATAGGGGCATCTGCAGTGACCCCACGCTCATTGCAGGACTTCAAGGCCACGGCTCCCGCCAAGATGCTCCAGGGTCCGCGCTCCGCGCTCCTGCTCTGGGGAATCCTGGGGGCCATCTGGGCCCAGCAGCAGGAGGTCATCTCGCCAGACACTGCTGAGAGAAACAACAACTGCCCAGGTGCCAGGGGCTGGGGGCCAGGGGCTCAGAGCATGCCGGGGGAAGTTGGGACCGATGCCCAGGTGCCAGGGGTTGGGGGCTCTGGGCATGCGGGGGGCAGTCAGGACAACCACAGGCATGGGACCAGGAGACGGGGTTGGAATAGCAGTCCCTCCTGAGGCAGGCTCAAGACGGGTCCTGTGCCCCCACAGAGAAGACCGACTGCCCCATCAATGTGTACTTCGTGCTGGACACGTCAGAGAGCGTCGCCATGCAGTCCCCCACGGACATCCTGCTCTTCCATATGAAGCAGTTCGTGCCGCAGTTCATCAGCCAGCTGCAGAACGAGTTCTACCTGGACCAGGTGGCGCTGAGCTGGCGCTACGGCGGCTTGCACTTCTCTGACCAGGTGGAGGTGTTCAGCCCACCGGGCAGCGACCGGGCCTCCTTCATCAAGAGCCTGCAGGGCATCAGCTCATTCCGCCGCGGCACCTTCACCGACTGCGCACTGGCCAACATGACAGAGCAGATCCGGCTGCACGGGAGCAAGGGCACTGTCCACTTCGCCGTGGTCATCACCGACGGCCACGTCACCGGCAGCCCCTGTGGCGGCATCAAGCTGCAGGCCGAGCGGGCCCGCGAGGAGGGCATCCGGCTCTTCGCGGTGGCCCCCAACCAGAACCTGAAGGAGCAGGGCCTGCGGGACATCGCCAGCACGCCACACGAGCTCTACCGCAGTGACTACGCCACCATGCTGCCCGACTCCACCGAGATCGACCAGGGCACCATCAACCGCATCATCCAGGTCATGGTGAGCCACGGGCCACAAGCGCTGACCACTCACCAGGGGCAGCGGCGGGCAGCCCGCCCACTCCAGGCCTCAGTTTACCGGGAGGCCGAAGGAGGCTCGGGGCAGGACCTGGGCCACTCAGGTGTCCCTCGACCCCCACCCAGACTCAGGTCCAGCCACCCCAGAGCTAACCAGCACTTCTGTCTTTTCTGCAGAAACACGAAGCCTACGGAGAGGTGAGTGGACGTCCTTTCCTGCCCGTGCTGACGGCCCCTGACACAGCAGACATGGCCATGCCAGGCTGCCGACTCCTGGCACCTCCAGGCTGGACAGATGAGAGGAGGAGAGGGAGCCCCCTGCTCCGTGTTGGACCTGAGGCCTTTGAGTCTGGACAACTGGCTCCCGGCCAAAGCCAGGCTGTTTAGATCCCCTGAGGATAAGCATTAGGGTCACCCACAGAGCACGTGTTACAAGGAGCGGCGAGGGTCCGGCCCCCAGGCGGGCAGGATCCCTCCACCCTGGGCTCAAGGCCCAGGCCTGGCCCACCACGTCAGGGGGGAAGGAACTGGCATCACTGGGGTCCCGGTCTTTCTTCCCTTCTGTTTTCTGTCATGGCTTAAGCCAGCCTTGGTTTTCCAAAACTTGCCTAGAACACTTTACAGAACCAAACTCTCTGGTTTGTCCCTGATAGGGGCGGAGCCTCACAGCGCCCCACATCTGCTCCCTCATCCCAGCCCGGGGTCTCAGGGCATCTCAGCAGCTCCTTGGCTCCTGCTGAGGGTCGTGGGCTACACGTTGTGAGCCCCTGCCCTACCACCTGGAGACTGTCCCACCCATGTAAACGTCTGTCTCTGCTTCCTCGTTTCAGTGCTACAAGGTGAGCTGCCTGGAAATCCCTGGGCCCCCTGGCCCCAAGGGCTACCGTGGACAGAAGGTAAGATGCCCAGACTGCCCGTGGGATCTGCTCACTGGGAAGCCCCTGATTTATTTTGAAATCCACATTTAAGGCCAGCTGTGCCTCAAATGGTCTCAAGACTTCTGACCCTAGAGAAACTAAAATTCTTTTTTTGTCTAATTCCTTTTAAATGGTATATTGAGAAAAGTAGAAACTTTAAAAAAATTATTAAGATATGCCATTAAAATGCTTTTGTAAGCAAGCATATTCAAGTAAGTAAATAAAATGTGAGATGCATTACAGTTAATAATATGATTGCTCATTAATATGAATGAACCTCTTTTGTGGTTTATTACATAAGTAGTTTTAGGGAGTCTGGGAATGTCCCTGCGTTTTGTAGGGCTATTGGCCTCACAGGGTTGTGGGATGTCCCTTATGCTGTGCTGAGGTGCAGGATCCGAGCAGTAAAGACACAGGACACTGAAGAACTGGGGAAGAGCATCTGGACTCAGAGCGCCACGCCACCTATGATATGAGCAGGGTCAGGCGAGGCCCTGAACACGCAGAAATATCTGTATTTATTAGGTACAGACAGGGGGAAGGGTCCTAAGTCAGGTCATCATCTATAGGCTTAGTGATAGGGCATACATAATCATGTGAGTCACAAGCGAGGGGGCCACCCCATTATGTCACCTGGGCAGAGAGGGGGCCATGCCATGCGCAGTAGTAGAGGGTCGTGTACAGAAAAGGGGTCCATCCCCATTAGGTCACCGAGGCAAGGAGGTGGGCTGTGTGCAACAGGTGTCGTGCGCAACACTTCTTATCTGGGGCTGGAGACTTCAAAGGATTTCTAATAGAAGGATACTGTAAGCCAGTGCAGTGGGAGCTGACAGACTTGTGCTCTTCTCTTAAGATATTTATGGGAGGATGATTTGCGCTAGCACAGAAGTGAGAAAAGACTGACAGGGTGTACAGCCACTGTGACTGCTCACACCAGAGGGATTCTTCTCCCTCGGTTACTTCCAGGATCTCAGGCCTGAGGCCTACTTTCCACAGGAACTGGATGCAAGGTGCTACAACTCCTTTATCAGGAGGAGAGGCTCCTGCTCCAAGCCTGCCGTACAGCGTATGCCCTTTCAGGCAGGGACGCCACCGCCTGTGTCTCTGCTTCTTGTCCTGGTCCGGCTGTTTTCCCATGTACTGCTTCTGTTCTGTGACTACTCTAGGCATTCCTCCTACTACAAACTACTATATGGTTACATGGAAGGATTCTATAAATCAGCACTAAATGTGTCAGTACAGTTCCAACTACAATACCTATATGATCATATAGAAAGATTATATGGAACTAAGTATGTTAGATATAGGTATTAAATATGATTATATAAGCTAGATATAACAAGCAGTAAGTTATACTTCAGGCATGAATTCTATAAACTAATATATGATTATATATAAAGGATTATATAAAGGAAATAGCTGAGTAATAACACTATAAACTAAGATATTCCTCATGCACTAATTGTGCCTGGGGTCTGGACAGTTCTTCTTCCTCGGTGCCCATGGAGGGTGTTACCCACACGTTTTCCTAACAGAGGTACATAAAATAAAATCCTTCCAAAACTCACTAACAGAGTATGTGAAACTCCAATAATTCACATCTGTCAAAAATTATAAAGAAAGGCATAGGAGGAGAAAGCACCTTCTAAGGAGAAGACATAAGGAACTGGCCATTATAGAGGAAGTTATTGCTAAGAAGCTGCATGTTTTTCTAAATTTGGATGACAGCTGTCTAAACCAGTAGGTTTCTGGATGTACTTTCTCCAAGATGAGACATCTCCAGGCTGCAGGCCAAATCCTGCCACCTCCTTCCCTGGCTTCTCCAATCCTGGCAGCAATGCCTACCCCACCACAGCTGGGAATGAATTTGCCACTTGGGGCAGCCTTGGCTGCACAGAGCAGTGCAATGACCTGTCCTGTGGGCAGGGCCACTGGAGGCTGCCACAGGGATCACTAGTGATTAGAGTTTGAGGGGTGGCAAGGTGCCAATGGGAGCCCAGGACAGAACACAGCTGTGCTGTTCCAGAAGCCTCTGCCCACCTCACCCCCTGCCCTGAGTGTCCTCCCTTTTCTTCCCTTCGATCTCTTAATTCCTCCCTTTTCCTCTCTTCCTCTTTGCACTTAAATTGGGAGCATATCAATAAATAGATGAATTTATTTAATAAAATTCTGTGTCATAGGTTAAAATTTTAATTCCAAGGGAGTGTAAACTTTATGTGGTTTTCTGAAGTCCTAATCTGTCTAAAGTGACTTAGACAGCTACCAAGGAACAGACTTAGATAAAGGAATTAATTTTTGTAGTGATGAGACCTGAGCATTACTGGAGAATTGGAGGCCAGTGTTGGCTATGGTCACAGCCACTGGGTGCAGAAGGCACCCCCCAAGGGCCAGGTACCCCCAACCCCAGGCTGCTGTTCTGGCTCTGTCTTGCAGGTGGTTTTCTGGGAAGCTTCCCCTAGAGCTGGGAGAAACGAATCAAAGCAAGCTCGAGTCTGACAGAGGCTGGGCCCCTGGGGAGCAGCTGACACCACGACATCTCCACCTGGGTGGGGTCCCCACCTGCCAATCCTGCCTTGGTTTACCCTTTTCTCTGTTGTCTGCTTTTAGGGTGCCAAGGGCAACATGGGTGAGCCAGGAGAGCCAGGCCAGAAGGGAAGGCAGGTGAGTGTCCTTGCCCCACACCTGCCTGCCTGCAGCCTAGCGCCCCAGGGATGGGCTCACATGGCTGCTTTGTCCTTCACAGGGAGACCCTGGCATCGAAGGCCCCATTGGATTCCCAGGACCCAAGGTGAGTGTGCTCAGCGAGGTCCTGGCTCCACCCTGCGGCCCCAGCACTGCCAGGCAGGCTCCCCCGAAGCCCAGCCTCAGCCTCAGCCACAGCACCTACCACCCTCCTGCCAGCTACCAAGGAACAGAAGCGCCTCGATAGCTTGATGGCTGCCCCAAAACCCAGCCTCTGGCCCAACTCCATGCTCAGCCTCCTCCACAGACTCTTTGTCGAGAACTCCGGATGCCAGCAGCCCCCCGAGTACCCCCCTCAGCCTGCAGGGCCAGCCCTTCCCTTCCTGTGTCTCGCAGAGCCCCTCACTAACGCCCCTCTCTCCTCCTGCCCCCAGGGCGTTCCTGGCTTCAAAGGAGAGAAGGTGAGGCTCCTGCGCTAACAAACCTGAGACCTGCGGCGCCTTGGCCCAGACCAGACCCACCTCACAGTGTCTGCTGAAGCCTGTCATTGCTCCTGGGGCACCAGGCTGGGCTTTTCTCAGTGGTAGCTTTGGGGGTTTCTGGGGGGTCCTGTGGCCTCGAGCTTGGCCCCCGCAGAGACAGCAATGCCCATGATGCTTTGAGACACCGAGCTAACCGCCCCGGCCTTCCTCCTACAGGGCGAATTTGGAGCCGACGGTCGCAAGGTAGGCTAGCTGGGTGGGCAGAGCCCCTCGTTTCTGCTGCTCAGAGGGCAGAAGGACCGGGGCTAACGGAGTCCCCTCTTCCTTCTCTCTCCAGGGGGCCTCCGGCCTGGCTGGCAAGAATGGGACCGATGGACAGAAGGTAGAGGGAGCCTCGGGCTCACAGCTGGGCCTCCAGCCTCTGCAGAGCCCTCAGATCAAGTCTGACCTATCAGCTTACACACACCTGTGTGCACACACAAGAGCACGCTCACACATGCACACACGCACACACATGCATGCACATGCACACATACGCACACAAACACCCACACACATGCACACGCACACACGTGCATGCACACACCCACACATCACACACATACATATGCACACATATGCACACACACGCCCACATACACGTGTGTGCACACAAACACCCACACACCACACACATGCACACGCACACACACGTGCATGCACACACCCACACACATCACACACACACATATCACGTACATGCACACACGCACACACACCCACAAACACATGCGTGCACACAAACACCCACACACATCACACACACATGCATGTGCAAACACCCACACACCACACACACAGACACACATGCACATGCACACACGCGCATGCACACAAACACCCACACACATACATGCACATCACGCACACGCACAGGCGCATGCACACATCCACACACATCACACACATACACACATGCACACACACACACACTTGTGCACACAAACATGCACACACATCACACATACACATATGCACACGTACACACATGCCCACCAACACACACGCACGTGCACACATGCACACACACACAGTGCGGGGTAACTCCAGCTTCTAGGCTTCACCAGCCTGCATCTAATTCAAGGCTGCATGTCCTGTCTTGGGGCGGTTCCACAGCTGCCCACAGAGGCCAGCAACAAGCCCACCTCCTCCTGGTGGAGCCACAGGAGAGCCCCACCGACTCCTTCCAGGGCTCCCTGTGGGAACAGCCTCTGTGCCCAGGGAGCTCTAGCTCTGCCCTCGGGGATGGCATCAGCCACTTTGCCTCCCGGAGACGGCTCAGCAGCCATGGCCTCAGTGTGCACCCCATGTGCCGGGAGGGGCGCTGCAGTCCCAAGGTGTGCAGAACCTGCCTAGGCCCCAGAGCCCTGCCCTGAGACTCCTCCCGCCCCCTTCTTCTTCAGGGCAAGCTGGGGCGCATCGGACCTCCTGGCTGCAAGGGAGACCCTGGAAACCGGGTAAGGGCCGCTCACACCCCTCCTTCAGCCTTGGCTCTGGGGGCATGGGTGCCTCGCAGAGCGGAAGGATGGCCACAGCTGCCATGGGAGCTTGAGTTTACCCTGCACCCCAGCACTCCAAGCCCAGCATTCTTTCGGGTCGGGGTTATGTGAGGAGTTCCCCCTGGGAGCTGCACCCCAGCACCCCAAGTCCAGCATTCTTTCAGGTTGGGGTTATGTGGAGTTCCCCCTGGGAGCTGAGGCATCCCACGCTTCAGTGTCTGCACAGCTCCATTACCCTGAACAGCAAGTCCGGGCCTGGCCTCTAAGAGAGGGTGGGAGGTGCCTCTCGGGCTGGGACACAGGGGCTCGGGCCCTTGCTGTGAGCCGGGCTCCACCTCTCACTTCTCTCTCAGGGCTCCGATGGTTACCCGGGGGAAGCAGGGAGCCCCGGGGAGCGAGGAGACCAAGGTGGCAAGGTAAGTGGCCTTCCCAGGGTGCAGGCCGGCCAGGCCGGGGTGGTCACCAGCCTCCAGGGGCCTCCCTGACCCCAAGAGGGGCCTCCTGGAGGCAGCCCCAGCTGAGAAGCTGAGCAAAGAAGGCATTTCCCAAAACACTGGCCAGTGAGGAGTCAATAGCTGTGAGATGCTGGGGGTGCCCACCCAGGGCAGGGGTACCCAACCCGGGCACCATCAACTTGCTTCTCACCCGGTGCTGCTCATCCAGCTTGGGGAGCTCCACAGCTGCCCACCTAGGCCTCAGTAGCAAGCCCACCTCCTGGGTGGAGCCCCAGGAGGCCCCTCAGCATCTCCTGGAGCTCCCATGGAAATGCTTTCTGCGCCACAGGGGCTCTGTCCTCCTAGGCTGCCTGCAGTGTTGCCCTGTCCCTGGCTGTCCCAGGATCCCCGCGGGTGGCTTTTCTCTGGGAGCTCTTGGACCTAGGGCCACCCACTTCCTGTCCACCTTCCCTCAGCCTGAGCCCAAATCTGGCTGAGTCCACTGTACAGATGCACTGAGGCCCTGCCCTTGCCTACACTCTGCCCTCTGCCAGCATGGAGGGTCCGGCAGCCCCGCCAGCATCTGGCATCTCGGATGAAGCCCCAAGCCTGACCATGGGTCCTGCGCTGGGTGTCCTGCACCCCCTTTCCCTGCCAAAAACGTCAAACTGATTCTGCAAACCCTTCCAGGGGGAACCTGGCCGCCCAGGACGCAGAGGGCCCCCGGGAGACAGCGGGGCCAAGGGAAGCAAGGTGAGCTCCTCTGTGTCTGCCTGCAGCTGAGCTGGCCACACTCACGCCCATGGCCTGGGTAGATGGTCACACTGGCCACCATCTCTGCTGTCACCATGATGCCCCTTGGGCTCTGGGGACGTGGAGAGGGATGGGCCACGTGCCCTGCCACCAGCCCCTCCAACCTGTGCCCTCCTCACGAGGCCGAGCCAGCTCCAGGGAGCCCTGCAGGGCCCCCACGTGCCCAGCAAGCAGGTTCTGCTGAAGACAGCAGGGGCTTCACGCCACACACCAGGCGTGACTGCATCTCAGGGCCCAGCATCAGGCCCTGCCGTGGCCCCTGCCCCTGCGTGACTATGCTGCCCCTTCCATCCCCAGGGCTATCAAGGCAACGACGGAGCCCCAGGAAGTCCAGGCCTGAAAGGAGCCAAGGGCGGGCCCGGGCCCCGCGGACCCAAAGGCGAGCCCGTGAGTCCCTCCCGCCCCTGCCTCGGGCCGTGAGCCCCTGCACCCCCTGCAGCTTGAAAAGGGCCACAGGGAAGGGCACCAAGCTGCAGGCAGGACCCCCAGCTGGCCAGCCACAGCCACGCCCCCAACCCGAGACATGGGACTGGACCACCCCACAGAACCCCAGGGCTGCATTTAGAGGGGAGGCCCAAGTGGGTCCCCCATGGTGTTCCCTAGCCCAGCACCAGCTGCCCAGAGCTCCCTGCAAGGGGTGGGCATGGCCCATCCAGTGCTGACCCCTCCACTCGGATAGTCCAAGCTCGGGGCCTGCCTGGGAGTGACTGGAGTGACTGGACGGCACCAGGTCCCCCCGGGCCCCAGCCCATCACCTCAAACGCCACTCCCAGGACATCCAGCTCAACCCGGAGCCTCCCCGTATCATTTCTAAGTCCTCGAATGGGCAGGAGGCACCCAGCAAAGGGAGGAGGGCTGGCAGCAGAGCCCAGTGCAGGCTGAGGCCGTCAGAAGGAGCCCAGAGATCCAGGTCTCAGGTCCCAAAACCGGAGCCTCCTGGAGAGAAGGGGGCACCAGTCCCAGCATGGCCCCCAGCAAGCCCCCCACCCTCTGGGGTCTCTGGGCTTGGCTGCAGCCCCCTCCCTCACCCACACGCCTGTTCTCTGCAGGGGCGCAGGGGAGACCCCGGCAGCAAGGGCAGCCCAGGCATCAATGGCACCAAGGGGGAGAAGGTGAGTCCCTGCTGGAGGCACTGCGGGGTACGCCGTGCTGCCCGCGGCCCTGCTGCTGAGGGCCTAGCCCCGTTCCCCCTGAGAACAGAGCTCCAGGGCCTCACCCTCCAGGGTCACTCCCTGCAGAGTCTGGGAACGCAGCCCTGAGATCCCCACGCCCCATTTCCTGCTGAGGGAGCTCCAGCACCCGCCAGGCACACCCCACACAGCTGTGCAGGCACTGCTCACCCCTGGCCCACGGAGGAACCACTTACCCCGGGGCCCCTCCCCCGCCCCTGGACACACCCACCTCTCACATGGACCCAGGTCCAAGGCCTCAGCTGAGACCCACGGGGACTCCTGTCCCTTCCCACAGGGGGACCCTGGCCCTGAGGGGCCCCGAGGCCTGGCTGGAGAGGTCGGCAGCAAAGGAGCCAAGGTAGGGGGATCAATGGGGGCTGCACCCCAAGGTAGGAGGAGGCCGCACCCTAAAGTGCGGGGAAGGGCTGTACCCCCAGGTAGGGGGGTCAACGGGGGCTGCATCCCAAGGTAGGAGGTGGCTGCACCCTAAGGTGGGGGAAGGGCTGTACCCCCAGGTAGGGGGGTCAACAGGGGCTGCACCCCAAGGTAGAAGGAGGCCGCACCCTAAGGTGGGGGGAAGGGCTGTATCCCCAGGTAGGGGGGTCAATGAGGGCTGCACTCCGAGGTAGGAGGGGGCCACACCCTAAGGTGGGGGGCCGAGGGTGGCTGTACCCCCAGGTAAGAGGGTCAACGGGGGCTGCACCCCAAGGTAGGTCTGTACTCCAAGATAATGAGGGAGGGGGCTGCACCCCAAGGGAAGGGACCCGGGCAGGGGTTGTACCCCAAGGTAGGTGGGAGCTGCACCCAGAACCTGCTCCATGCAGTGTGGCAGGGCTGAGGGTCAGGAGGAGCCACAGCCTCCAGGAGGGTCATGGGGGCCGGGGCCAGACCTGCCTCACACCCCAGGCCCTGCCCGTGTCCACAGGATTGATTTCGGGGTCTCCAAGATGCTGCTGTCAGTCAAGAGGACCCCAACCTCCTCCCTTTTCTTCCAGGGAGACCGAGGCTTGCCTGGACCGAGAGGTCCCCAGGGGGCTCTTGGGGAGCCGGGAAAGCAGGTCAGTGCAGGACACCTGTGGCCCCAGGCTAGCCGTGAGGCCCATGCCCTCTGACCCCACGGTCCATTCCCTTTTTGTGGCACCACTTGGGTCTCCCTGTCCGTGGGGGGCAGACTGGTGCCAGCCACTGTCCCCGTAGCAAACCCAGGCAGTAGGTTGTGGCCCCAGAAGTGAGCGCCTGCTCCCTCAGACCCTGGGAACCTCATACCCACCCTCAGCCCCAGCCCCTGGTCCTGCCCTCAAGGATCTCGGTTGGGGAGTCGGGGGCAAGGCGGTGGGCCTGAGGGCCTGGATGGGCCAAGGGGAGAGGAGGAGCTAGGACCCTCAAGACAGGGATCCATAGTCCCCCAGGGGGCCGGAGGAGCTGGGGCCACGTAACCTGGTAGTCAGGGCTGGACAGGGCATGTCAGGCCGGTCTCTGCCTGTGCTGACTTCTGAATTTCTCTCCTGCCCTCAGGGATCTCGGGGAGACCCTGGTGATGCAGGGCCCCGTGGAGACTCAGGACAGCCAGGCCCCAAGGTATGTGCCCCTCCCCCCAGCAGGATGTGTTGGGGGCTCAGGGCAGCTGCCAGAAGACCAGGACCTGGGGTCCAGCTTGAGGGGCTCTGTTGCCTGCAGACAGGTCTTGGGCCGGGCCGGTGCCTCCTGTTCTCAGCTCTGGAGTGAGGGGTGCATCGGTGGGGTGGGGCCAGGGAGCCCTCCCGGCTCTCCCCATCAGCAGTGAGCCTTGGGTGCAGGCGGGGCAGGACCTGAGGGCAGCCTCTTGGCTCGAGCCGGGCTCTCCACGTGTGTGGGCGGGCGGCAGTCCTGGGCCTCTAGGCACGTCCAGCCCCCACTGGAGGTGGAAGGGGCAAGGCTGCCAGGCCCCTGCTCACACCAGCCCTGGACAGCACCTCAGCCCCGTTCCACCCCAGTGTGCACCAGGACCCTGCCCAGCACAGCCGCCCATCCCTCCCCCATCCTATGACCACACTGACCCACTCAACCTCCTCTTCCAGGGAGACCCTGGCAGGCCTGGATTCAGCTACCCAGGACCCCGAGGAGCACCCGTGAGTCTCAGGCTGGGATGGCAGCTCCCAGCAAGGGGTGGATATTGTACCAAGGGCCCTGGAGGTTCCTGGTAGTTCCCTCAAGGCCTCAGAAGAAAGTGAGGTCCCTCCTGGGGGTCGGAGGGGCGAGAAGCCTCTGGGTGACTCGGTGAAGGACAGGGCCAGCCTGGAATCAGGAGAAGAGTGCGGCTCAGAACGCAGCTCGGAGGCCTCGCCCAGAGTGTGCCTGTGGGGCGGGGAGCTGGGGCTGCAGGAAGGTGCCGGGAGGGAGGAAGGAGCGCTGGGATCTGAGGCTGAGCCTCCCTGACTTCTTTTTGCTTCACAGGGAGAAAAAGGCGAGCCCGGCCCACGAGGCCCTGAGGTATGTGCCGGTCCCGGCCACCTGTGCACACCTGGGGTGGGGGTCTGCATGCCCGCCACTGTGGCTGGGAACACACTGCCACGGATGGTCTTGGCTCCCCAAGTCCCAGCCATGCCACCTGTGCTGAGCTCTGGGGGAGCTGCCAGCCACCAGCTGGTCCCTTTCCAACCAAAGTTCAGGCTTTGCCGAAAAAAAAACACATAGATGTTGCCATTTAAAGGACCCCAAAATGCCAGAGTGATCTTTCCACGTAAAAAGCACACTGGTGTCCCTGGTAGAGGCAGCTCCTCCGTCCCAGGCTAACATGTGTCCCCTGTCACAGGGAGGCCGAGGTGACTTTGGCTTGAAAGGAGGACCTGGGAGGAAAGGAGAGAAAGGAGAGCCTGTGAGTGTCGTCATCCTGAAGCCCACAGCAGCTGGACAGAGGCAGGGAGGGGCCCTGAGGCTGAGCAGGCGCCTCAGAGTGTGGGAGGATGCCAGGCAGCTTGGCCCCAGCCATGAGCACCACTCCCACCTTCCTGAAGGGGATGGCTGGCTCAGGGCCTCCTCCCTCCACCCGCCCTCACTTCCAGCATTCCCCCAGGGTTCCCTTCCCCTCCCCCATACAGCATCTCCCCCAAGGGTCCCCTCCCCTGTGACCCTCCCACTACATCCCCCAAGGGTCCCCTTCCCGGCAGCACCCCCCTCCACCACCACACGGCATTCCCTGCAGAGCAACCCCAATACAGCATCCTCTTAAGGGTCCCTTCCCCCTAAAGATCCTCCCACATAGCATCCCCCTCAGAGTTCCCACACACAGCATTCCCCAAGGGTCCCTTCCCCAGTGTGGCACACACAGCATCCCCCACAGCACCCCTTCCCAGCATCCCATCCCTAGTGTCCCCCCCGCCCACAGATATCCACCAGCAGGTGCTCTACTCCTCCAAATCCCTAGCCTGGTTTAACAAGGACTGCAGGTTGGTCTGGAACTGAGCACAAGACAAGGGATGGATAATGATGGATGGATGGGCAGGCATGTGGGGGTGGGCAAATGGGTGGATGGGAGGATGGATGAAGGGGTGGGTGGATGGGTGAGTGGGAGGATAGAGGATGGATGGGTGGGTGTGGATGCGAGGATGGATGGATGGTTGGTGAGTGGATGTATGGATGAGAGGGTGGGTGAGTGGGAGGACAGAGGATGGATGGATGGATGGATGGGTGGATGAGTGGATGGGTGGATGAGTGGATGGATGAGATGATGGATGGGTGAGTGGATGGATGGATGGAGGATGGATACAAAGATGGATGAGTGGGTGGGTGAGTGGATGGATGGGTGAGTGGGTAGGTGGGTGGATGGATGAAAGGATGGATGTGTTGGGGGATGAACAGAGGATGGATGGGTAGGCGGGTGGATGGATGGATGAGCGGGGGGATGAGTGGGCAAGTGTGTGATTAGAGGATGAATGGCTGGGTGGATGAGATGATGGATGGGTGAATGGATGGATGAGTGGATGGATGGGTGGAAAATGGAATGATGGGTGGATGAGTGGATGGATGAGATGCTGGATGGGTGGGTGGATAGATGAGTGGTTGGGCGAGTGGATGTATGGATGGGTGGGTGAGTGGATAGAGGATGGATGGATTAGTGGGTGGGTGGATGAATGGATAGAGGATGGGTGACTGGATGGATGGATGGGTGGGTTAGTGGGTTGGTGGATGGATAGATGGGTAAATGAGTCGGTGGATGGATGGATGGATGGGTGAGTGACTGAATGGATGGATGGAAGGATGGATGGATGGGTAGATGGATAGGTGAGGGAGTGGGTGGGTGAGTGGATGGTGGGTGGACAGATGGATAGTGAAGGGATGAGTGGGTGGATAGATGGATGAATGGATGGGTGGGTGGGTGGATAGGAGATGGGTGGATGGGTTAGTGGGTGGGTGGATGGATGTGGATGGATGGATGGATGAGTGGGTGGAATAGCCATGGATTGGAATGAGCTATTTTGGCTGCTATTTCTGGGACACCCAACTCTGCCAGGCCCCTAACCCTCTGGTGGGCCAGGCTCTGACGGTGGCCACTCATGGGCTTCCCAGCCCTGGTGCTGGCACAGGGAAAGTGGGGGCACAGCCTCGCCTCACTCCCTGCATCTGTCAGGCCCCCCAAGGCAGGGCCTGTGGTTGGGGCCTGCTGTGTGCAGAGACCATTCCTGTGGCCACTGAAGCCACTTGTCCTTGTTCCTTCTCAGGCAGATCCTGGTCCCCCTGGTGAGCCAGGCCCCCGGGGGCCAAGAGGAGTCCCAGGACCCGAGGTAGGCGAGTGACCAGTCCCCATGCCCTCCAGACCTCAGCCTCCCAGCCTGCCAAGCCAACACACACCCGAGCCTCATGGTTCTGCCCACGGTGGACAGTGGGCAATGGCCTGTAAGCAGCTGGGCCGCCCAGCTTTGGACCCTGCATCTCAGCCTCATTCTTCCTTCCCCAGGGTGAGCCCGGCCCTCCTGGAGACCCTGGCCTCACGGTAGGTGTCACATGGGACAGACTAGTGTCCTTCTCCCTGCAAATCTAAAGACCAAGAGCAGCAAGGGCAAGAGGAGGTCAGCAGAGGAGGTCAGGAGGGGGAGGTCAGCAGGGGGAAGTCAACAGGGGGAGGTCAGGAGGAGGAGGTCAGCAGGGGGAGGTTAGGAGGGGCAGGTCAGGAGGGGCAGGTCAGGAGAGGGAGGTCAGGAGGGGGAGGTCAGGAGAGGGAGGTCAGGTGGGGGAGGTCAGCAGTGGAGGTCAGCAGGGGGAGGTCAGGAGGAGGAGGTCAGCAGGGGGAGGTCAGGAGGGGGAGGGCAGGGGGGGGGGGGGGGGGGGGGGGGGAGGTCAGGAGGGGCAGGTCAGCAGAGGGAGGTCAGGAGGAGGAGGTCAGCAGGGGGAGGTTAGGAGGGGCAGGTCAGGAGGGGCAGGTCAGGAGAGGGAGGTCAGGAGGGGGAGGTCAGGAGAGGGAGGTCAGGTGGGGGAGGTCAGCAGTGGAGGTCAGCAGGGGGAGGTCAGGAGGAGGAGGTCAGCAGGGGGAGGTCAGGAGGGGCAGGTCAGCAGGGGGAGGTCAGGAGGGGCAGGTCACCAGGAAGAGGTCAACAGGGGTAGGTCAGGAGGGGGAGATCAGCAGGGGGAGGCCAGAGGGCAAGGATGGTAGGGGAGGAGGGCGGCAGTGAGGTTGGCAGGGACAGGACCTGCCTGCGTCCCCACTTGGCTGCCTCCACGCATGGGCTGGAGTGTCCTGGGGCCCCTGGGCCAGGACCTTGCTGTGGAAACTCCTCTGGGCCCCTGGGGGACTGCCCTGCCTGATGCCTGCCTTGCAGGAGTGTGACGTCATGACCTACGTGAGAGAGACCTGTGGGTGCTGCGGTGAGGCACTGCCCATGGCGGGGTCGGGCCAGCACCGGGCAGAGGGCGGGAACGCGGCGGGGCAGGGCATCACTGGGTCCCCCATGTGCGCCTGGCCCTGGGGTCTGAGATCTCCCAGTGCGCCCCGCTGACCCTGCCACTCCCCAGACTGTGAGAAGCGCTGTGGCGCTCTGGACGTGGTCTTCGTCATCGACAGCTCCGAGAGCATTGGGTACACCAACTTCACGCTGGAGAAGAACTTTGTCATCAACGTGGTCAACAGGCTGGGCGCCATTGCTAAGGACCCCAAGTCCGAGACAGGTCAGCGCAGCAGGGACGGGCACGGGCGGGGCAGGGGCGGACGGGACATGGGAGGCGAGGGGACAGGAGAAGCCCAGACGTGTCCCTCCGATGAGGGCTTCTGCCCGGCCGGGATGCCTCAGGCCCCGAGGCAGCAGGTGACGCCTCCCGTGTGCGGCTTGCAGGGACACGCGTGGGCGTGGTGCAGTACAGCCACGAGGGCACTTTTGAGGCCATCCAGCTGGATGACGAGCGCATCGACTCCCTGTCGAGCTTCAAGGAGGCCGTCAAGAACCTCGAGTGGATTGCGGGCGGCACCTGGACACCCTCAGCCCTCAAGTTTGCCTACGACCGCCTCATCAAGGAGAGCCGGCGCCAGAAGACACGCGTGTTCGCAGTGGTCATCACGGACGGGCGCCACGACCCGCGGGACGACGACCTCAACCTGCGGGCGCTGTGCGACCGCGACGTCACGGTGACGGCCATCGGCATCGGGGACATGTTCCACGAGAAGCACGAGAGTGAGAACCTCTACTCCATCGCCTGCGACAAGCCGCAGCAGGTGCGCAACATGACGCTGTTCTCCGACCTGGTGGCTGAGAAGTTCATCGACGACATGGAGGATGTCCTCTGCCCAGGTGAGCGCGTGGGCGCAGGGCAGCGGACACGGAGCACAGGCCCCAGGACACCCTCACCCGAGGGACGAATGTGCAGCCCGGGGCCGGGCTCCGGGTGGGAAGGGGTCGGCCTCTTGCTGCAGGGTGAGGTCAGCTGCACCCTGAGCCTGTCTGGGCAGACTCGTGGGCCACTGACACCGCTCCGGCCTCTCTCTTCTCTTCCAGACCCTCAGATCGTGTGCCCAGACCTTCCCTGCCAAACAGGTAATGCAGGGCACCCAGCCCCCACCCCAGACTAGCAGAGAAGCCCCGGTGTCCTTTCTTCTCCAGGGCTGGGCTGGGGGAGGGGCTGTGAAGGAGCCACTGCTGAGGCTGCTCCTCCATGAGATGCCCCCCCAACCCCGCCCAGGGCACAGGGGAGGAGGGGCTCTGGGAAGGTGGCACAGGGTAGGGAACGCAGGATGGCGTCGTGAGGCCCGGCAGCACGGGGGCTGCTGGCCTGGCGCTGTGCTGGGCGTGTGGCCGCTGGTCTTGGCCCACTGTGGGCCCTGCAGTCTCCCCCCAGCTGCACCGCAGCTCCCATGGGCTGTCCGTGCACATGGCACTGGGAGGAAGCCCTGGATTCAGTGAAGGAACCATCCCGTTCAGAACAGTGCAGAGGCACCGACACCCACCAGCGCCAGCCCGTCCTGCTCCCACCCTGCCCAGTCTCGGAGCTTCGGCCTCAGCTCTCATCTCTGGGGGTGGGGGTGGCTAGCTCTCAGGAGCCCTTGTCCTGGATGTGGTCCACGTGGGTGCGAAGCTGGACTGGGGGTGCCCGAGGCAGAGGTTCTGCCTGTGCCCAGGGCTTAGAGTGCCGTCCAAGCTCTCCTGGCTGTGGTGCTGCCCCCACGGTGACCGGGCCCACAGGAGGTGCCTGGGGGCATGAGAAGCTGAGTCCCCCTCCACGAGCCATCCCTCCCAGAGTGTAAGCTGGGGACGCCACGGAGACAGGGTGGGAGGGTCTGACCTGGAGGACCGGGGGAGGAAATCTCTCAGGGTCTGCGGTGCGAAGTTAGCACTTCCTCACACACATGGGTCAGGGTGTGCATTCAGCCGTTTCGTGGGGAGCTCTTGGTGGGTGAGGAGGGCCACGGAGCATATTCACGGGCCCTGAGGCCACCCCAGGGGAGGAGCCGTGGACTAGGGGCCAGGGTTCGCCACACTGGAGGCTGCTCCTGGGTCTAGCCGCCCTTCAGCAGGTGGGCAGCCTCGGGCCCCACAACACATGGGCTGTGCCTCTGCTGGGGTGTGGGCATCCTCCCCAGGGTCCGCCAGGGCCTTCACCAGCACCAGGGCAGCTGGATCCTGAGGGCAGGAACCAGACCTTGGCCCCTCCACCCTTGTTCCTGACGGGGCAGGGAAACCTCAGACCCCGTGATAGGCGACATGGCAATGTTCACTGTGGACTCTTTGCTCTCTGTTGGACGGAGGCTTCCCTCCACTCCGGGTTCTATCATGAATGGGTGCTGTGAGTTTCTCCTAGTGTGAGTGGGTGCTGGGAGTTTCTCCTCCACTCCGGGTTCTGCCGTGAGTGGGTGCTGAGGCTTCCCTCCACTCCGGGTTCTGCCGTGAGTGGGTGCTGAGGCTTCCCTCCACTCCGGGTTCTGCCGTGAGTGGGTGCTGCCATCTTGGCAGGTCCTTTCTCTGCGTCTGTGGATGTCATGTTACCTTTCCTGTTTGGCCTATCATTGCAATTGGGAGTTAGCCATTGAGCTTTGTTGATTTTCAGACGTCGAGCCAACCTGCATGCCTGGAATAACCCACCTGGGCATGGGGAGTAGCTCTGTTCATGTGTGTGGGCCTTGATTTGCTGGTGACTTCCTGAGGGTTTGTGCTCATCAGTGACATCGGCCTGCACGTTCCTTTCCTGTGATGTCTCTGGTTCAGGCCTCAGGCAACCCAGGTCTCATAGGGTTCCATGGTGACTCCCACCAAGATGGTGACCCGGGGTGAGCCAGTTCTCCCTCCTGGGAGTGGGTCACTCAGGCCACCAGAGCACCACAGGGAAAGCAGCCAGGAAGGACACAGGGGCCCTGAAGCTCTGGCCTCCTCTGAGGCCTCCAGGACATGACAGTGAGTTGGAGCAGTCCCCATTGAACCCCTCCCCTCCCCCCGGCCTCCCTGACCCCTGCAGTACACCCAGAGCACATCCACCATTCAAACTATTTGTAATTTCAAAGTGAACTTGACCCTGTGGCTCCAGGAGCTATAGCAGGGTGAGCGTTAAATTGGCTTTCACCAGCGTGCACACCTGGGCATCCTCCTTGGCCCTCCTGGGCGCTGGGTGGATGCTGCTGGCTGTGGGCTGGCCCTGGCCTTCTCCACCCCGAAGCCCAGCCCCCCTGGGCCTGCACCCAGCCTGTGGGTGTCTCAGCTGCGCTGGGGCCAGAGGGTGCTGGAGAAACAAGCCAGACGTGGTGGAAGGCAGTGGAGGCGGAGCCCGCTCAGCGATAAGAGCTGCATGGGGGCCACAGCACAACCTGAGTTCTGCTCAGTGGAAAGAAAAAGCAAAGGCGTTTCAGGGGCCCAGGGGGAGGAAAGTTCTGGAATCGAGGACTCACATCTCAGGGGCTGAGGAAGGGTTTCCCACTGCAGGCTTCCCCAGGCGGGCTCCTGAAGGGGGGCTGGCCAGGGTCTTCCCAGCAACAGGGCCTGGGGCACTGGGAGCCTGCTGGAGTTTGGTGCGTTTCTCAGCACAGGTTTGAATGGAGCTGTTTTGAGCTGAAAGGTTTTCTTGAGGTCTGTGGTGTCCCCCAGAGATGCCGCCATGTTGGCCTCCTCTCCTCACTCCCTGTCCCCCCGCTGCCCGCTCCCCGCCGCCCCCCACTGCCCCCATGCCTCCTGCCAAGGCCAAGCCACACACTGCCCCACACCCCATCTGCGTCTCTGCCACCACCTCGCTGGCCCAGGTGCCGCTCCTCTGTCTGGTCTCGCAGAGCGGGTCTTCCAGGAGCAGCTACAGGTCATGCCCACCCCGGCCTCAAAGTCTTCTCTGGACGCTCCCTTGCAGATGCACCGTGGCCTGGCGGCGAGCCCCTGGTCACCTTCCTCCGCACGGAAGAGGGGCCAGACGCCACCTTCCCCAGGACCATCCCCCTGATCCAACAGTTGCTAAACGCCACGGAATTCACACAGGACCCAGCCGCCTACTCCCAGCTGGTGGCCGTGCTGGTCTACACCGCAGAGCAGGCCAAGTTCGCCACTGGGGTTGAGCGGCAGGACTGGATGGAGCTGTTTATTGACACCTTTAAGCTGGTGCACAGGGACATCGTGGGGGATCCTGAGACTGCGCTGGCCCTCTGCTGAAGCCCTGGCGGCCGCCCAGCCTGGCCGGCCCCTCCCTGCCATGCAGGCTTCCCAGGGCTGCTCCTGCAGGCTGGCTCTCCATGGAGGCTGAAGTCTGGAATCGGAGGGTCAGCAGGGCCGCAGGCCCTCCAGAGGCTCTGGGGCGCCTTCTGCCTCTCCCCACCCTGGTGGCCGCCGTGTCCCTGGGCGGCGGCTTCATCTTCCCGTCTCCCTCCGTCTTCCTGCAGCCTCTCCACTTTTTATAAGAACACCGGTCATTGAATTTAAGGCCCACCCAAGTCCAGGATGCGTCCTCGCAAGACCCTTAACTCACTCCTGTCTGCAGAGTCCTTCTTTGCTCCCTCAGGTCACCCTCACAGGCTCCAGGGTTTGGGCGTGGAAATCTCTGGGGCCTTTACTTAGTGACCCAGCTGGGCTGCGTGCGTCAGGGTGGGGCTGAGGGTGGGGTACAGCCTGAGTGCTGGCGGTGTCTCCCCCTCAGGGTTCCAGTGGAGCCTCAGAAACAGGCCCCAGAGGCTGGAGAGCCTTGCACCCATCCTGTGTACGGTTACTCGTGGGCACCCAGCCCATCTGGTGGTGGGTAAAGGCATTCGGGTTGGGCAGCAGATATTCCTGGGACCTAGCAGTCCTGGCACCGGGAGGTATCTGGGCTGGTGTCATGCGCCCTGGAGCAAATAGCCACAGCTGCCTGCCAGCAGCTGTGGACCTGGGTTGCCTGCACCCTTCCAGCCCAGCCTCTGGAAGCACAGTTGGGAGAGCATTCACCAGGCATGATCTCTGCTGTCCTCGGAAGCCTGAGCAGGGAACCCCAGGGGCCACTGCGTGGGGGAGTGGCAGGGGTCACCATCCAAAGGGCGCGGCCCCCATGTCGAGCTCGGACCCTGACGTTCATCTAGGCTGGGCTCCCACCAGGCAGGGCTGTGGCCATTTCTCATGGCCAGGTTCTCGGCCCCACACCCCACAGGGTGGCCAGGCCAAACTTCCTACTATGGGATAAAGGATCCCCCACAGAAGGAGAGCAGAGTCCATACACAACCCGACAGCCTCAGCCTCCCTGTGCCCAGCCAGCCCCCATGGCCTCCCATCTCCTGTAGACCCCACAGACACTGATGCCTGGAGAGAGACCCCCAAAACCAGCCACCCCCCGACACGTCTGTCTCCATGTGCGTAGTGACAACTGAGAAAATGTTTATTAGTTCTGAGGAGGTTTGGGAAGCCCAGTGGTGCCTGAGAACTTTCTGAACATTTAAGCAGGTTCCAAGGTGTGGGCCTCACTATGGAGGCTGCCCTTCCTTTCACTGAATAAGCTGCGTCACTTGTAAGCTCGCTGAGAACCCCGTCTGCCAGCTCGTGCGTGCTCAGACGCGCTCCGTGTGTCTCGGGTGTTCTGTAAAGGCTGAAGTGCCCGTGAGGTCACGCTGCTGTGTTCAGGGTTTGCTCACTGCCAGCAGGGCTAGGACTCTGTACCTCCAGGGCCCCCAGAGGCCGAGTTTCGGTCAGGGCCCTCCGTGCACATTCTTAGGGTCAGGACCTCGCTCCTGAGGGATTCCTGGGGGTCCGTGTACCAGCTGTGACCACGTCCAGGGGGTGGGCTGAGGAGCAGATGCCCTTGGGGAAACTGGCTCTGTCCTTCCCCTCCCCCATCCCAGGAGCTGAGGTGCTAGTGAGGCCGCAGGGCCGGCTCCATGCATGTGGACTGTCCGTGTCCCATCCTGTGGTCTCTGGCCCCATGTGACACCCACATATGTGGTGGGTGGCCTGGGCTGTGGCTGTGGCCCACCCTCACACTGTCCAGGGTGCCCAAGGCTGGTGACCACCCAGGCAGGTGGCAGCCGCTCTCAGTAACAAGGAGTTCTAGGGCAGAGCCCGCCTGGGCTGCCCCTGTGCCCACTGCCACTCACCATGGCCGGTACAGGGGCTCCTGGTCTTTCTGGGAGGGATGAGGCCCAGTCAGCTCTAGGGGTTCTGGGCAGCTCTGGGACCCAGCCAGTAGGTGGTCAGGCGGGGGGTATGGGGGTCCTCCTGAAGTCCCTTCCGCACCACAAAGACAGTGGCCCTTTGGTGGGCCGCAAATTCTTGGGCCACGAGAAGATGTCTTGGGGCCCCTTCCCTCCCAAGAGGCAGAGATGGCGCTCAGCAGGTGGACAGGGCCTGGGGCCTGTGTCCGGGTCTCGGGCCTGGGAGCACCCGCAGGGGAGACGGTGGCTCCCAACAGCGCTGCCTGAAGGGGCTGGGCCGAGGACCCGCACCCAGGACTGCCCCGCAGAGCCCGGCCGTCCACGGGGCCCATCGGGAGGGTGCGGGTGGAGGGCGGGCACAGGGCTGGCACCTGCCGGGTCCTGCCAGCCGCCCCGCCCAGCCCGCACCCCGTCTCCCCGCAGAGCTGGCGGTGGCGCAGTGCACGCAGCGGCCCGTGGACGTCGTTTTCCTGCTGGATGGCTCCGAACGGCTGGGCGAGCAGAACTTCCACAAGGCGCGGCGCTTCGTGGAGGAGGTGGCGCGGCGGCTGACGCTGGCGCGGAGGGAAGACGACCCCCTGAACGCGCGCGTGGCGCTGCTGCAGTTCGGGGGCCCCGGGGAGCAGCAGGTGGCCTTCCCACTGAGCCACAACCTCACGGCCATCCACGAGGCGCTGGAGGCCGCGCGCTACCTCAACTCCTTCTCGCACGTGGGCGCGGGGGTGGTGCACGCGGTCAACGCCATCGTGCGGGCGCGCGGCGGGGCGCGGCGGCACGCGGAGCTGGCCTTCGTGTTCCTCACGGATGGCGTCACGGGCAACGCCAGCCTGCAGGAGGCCGTGCACTCCATGCGCAAGCAGAACGTGGTGCCCACTGTGGTGGCCGTGGGCGGCGACGTGGACATGGACGTGCTCACCACGCTCAGCCTGGGCGACCGCGCCGCCGTGTTCCGCGAGAAGGACTTTGAAGCCCTGGCGCGGCCCGGCTTCTTCGACCGCTTTATCCGCTGGATCTGCTAGCGCCGCCCGGCCCGGCCGTCCATGGTGCTAAGTGGCCCGGGCCCCGCGCTCGCTCGGAGGACGCCCCAGGCCCGCCCTGCCCCCTAGAGGGCCCGCCCTACCCCCAGAGCCCCCGCGGGGTCCCCTAGCCCCTGCCTGGCCCAGCCTCCCTCCACCCCCTGCAGCCCTCCCAAGGCTCCTGACCTGCCTGGCCCTGACCTCCGGAGCAAGCCCTGACCGAATAAAAACGCTCTGAACCCACTGCGTGCCCGCTCGCTGCGTCTGTGCTCAGGAGGGACCCCGAAGCTGTCCTGCGCCCAGGAAGGAATGCTCCAGCTGTCACTCGCCCACCAGGGTCCATGGCTTCCCCGGCCCAGCCCTGGCCTCCTAGGACATCACCCGCAGGTGCTGGCTGACCCCACCTGTGCAGACCCGGCAACCTTGATCAGCAAACTCTCCTTCCAGCCCCAGCCAGGACCACCGTACTCAGAGCATCACTGCACAGGGAGGATCTTCTGTGGGTGGACGCATGATTGATGGCCGACAGAGATAGCAGGTTCCAGGCTGGTTTTGTTTTGGGTGGCCATCTCAGTGGGTTTTTCCTATTCAGATCCCCAGGGTCCTTCAGGCTCAGCTCAGTAGCACCTTGGTGAGCCACAGGCTCCATGGGCAGGCGCTGGCCTGGCAGGAGTGGTCTTGGCAGCCATTACCGGGCACTACAGACCACAGCTTGGACAACTCCCAGCATCGACCACAGCTCTGGAGGCGTCAGCCAGGCTGGGCTCCCTCTGGAGGCCTAGAGAAAGGCCTGCCGTGGCCTCTCCCCAGCGTCCCAGGGTTCCTGAGCTCCTGGCAGCCTCGCTCCAGCCTACCATGGCCCACTCCTCTGTGTGTCTCTCTGTCCAAGTCCCCTTTGGATAAGGACACAAGTCACAACACGGGACCAGGGCTCAGCCTGCTCTAAGATGAGCTCACCCGAGTCACACGGGACCAGGGCTCAGCCTGCTCT